TACGGTTGCTCTGCTGGGAAGTGGTACGGCTGGAATAAACCTGGACTTCAACTGCAAAGTTTATCACAGTGCTGAAGTTCCCAGTGGTCATGCTTTCTCTGACTTCCATGCTCCTGTACATGTGGAACCTCTGCCAGGCTAATTCCTGCTCATCCTTCAAGACCCAGTGTAAGGGTCATCTGCCATCTTTGGGAAGCTGCCATTACTACTTCCTCCCACCCACCCTCTGAGAGCAAGGTGATCCTTTTTCTCTGTTCCTGCTCTGCCTTGGGCACACTTTATTATCACACACACAAAGTTCTTTATTAGAAGGTTTAGTTTCTTACCCATGTAGCAAGATGATATTGGGGAAAATTAAATAGATGTGTTTAGTGTTGTTCCTGCCTCTCCCTAACCTCCATGGAAGGATTAGCAGGGAGATGGCAGCCTTTATAAATACTTTTGAGGTAGGGCTGCTGCTAGAAGTGCCATGTAGTGAGGTGATACTCAGCTTTTAAATTTCATCTCAGATTCTTGACAAGACAAGAGCTTTGAAGGAAAAGGCTCTTAGAGCATCAAGAGAACACTTCCAGATCTAAACAAACAAAGAGGCCCTATCATGTCTAATTTCCCCCCTGCCTGACCATGATCTGGGAAAGGAGAGACTTGAGGAGAAGATCAAGAAAATAAGATACTGTTGAGCCTTCTGGTGAGGCCAGAGGAAACTGCCTTTTTTTTCTCCAGGATGGAGAGGAGTCTGAAGAAGTGAGCAAAATGCTCAGTTTCCTTCACCTTACTCCAGCCTAGGGCAGCTGCAGAAGAGTAGAAATAATAAAACCTGAGCAGAGAGGACCTGAGCTAGCCCCCTCAAGATTCCTGGGCTCCAGGAAGGCTCAAAAGAGCATGAGAAATTCCAATTCCATGTGCCTGCAAGAGGGATGTGGAAATGACAGAGAAAGAACTTATATGGGACTCTTTGAAAGTGTAGTGAATGGGCTATAGGATCAAATCTACTCACATCTGGCTTAGAACACACTCTCTTTCCTTAGGACCCTGAGCTGGCCTCTGAGCCACTGTGCTCCTTCTTTAGACTGAACCTCCAGCCAGGAATGAGTCTTTTCACAGGACTGGTGGGAATTCCCAGTTCTGAGGTTGGATCTGCTGTTACACTCTGTCTAAAGACTTCTGCATGGACTCAGAAGGTGGGAAGAAGTTTATTTTGTGTCCTGTCTATTCTTTTGCTTAGGATGGGCTGATGGTGACTCATTCTGGTGCCAGACCAATGCTTTGATAGGCAATCACTGGGAATCTTGCAGCTTGGTTTGGGATAGAGAACATCTTCTGTGAAGTTCCCATCATGGGAAGCCTTTAAAAGATGACTGTTGGATGGTCCTTGGAAAGTCTATAGAAATCGTATTGGTAAGGATGTAGGGGAGGGGCACAGAGAACCTAAAGATAGAAAGAAAAGGTCCTAGACTGAAGATATTTGTAACAACCTCTAAACTAGAAAGAACTTGGGATTTCTCAAAGGAGAAGTCAATCTGAGCCTACAAACTTTGTCTTAGCAAAGGATAGGGTGACTGACATGCATTAACCTCAAAAACAGTCCTTAGTACCATCCTCTAATAGAACAAAACCAAAATGAACTGACAAAGAAAAAGCCAGCCCCAGAGTACCAGCATTAAGACCAGTTTTTAATTTTTTTTTCAAGAGATATTTTTGCTATAGGGTGTGTGCACCCACCTGAGAGACAGAAAGAGATAGAGAGACAGAAAGTGAGAAATCACCCCTCAAGGGGGAATGGCCACACCACACTCCTTTCTCCTCCATTCTCCTCTTGGGATCTTGGGCAGACATGCACATGTGCCCAGTGTGAGTTTTAAGTCTCCAGGGCCAAGAATCGAACCACAGTTGACTCCGTGGGAATTCAGCAAAGTAACCATTATGCTCTCTGCTGTTCTCAAGACCAGGTTTTTTAAAAAAAGGGGAAATCCTCTTTGCTCTGAATAAGGTAAGGAGGGTGATAAATGATTTGACACTTGACTTTGGCACACTTAATATTTTATGCTTGCAAGAGTAATCATTGCCTAGGAATAGCAGCTGCACTCTGTAACCACACTTTCTGTGAACATGCTAGTTTCCTAAGGTTGAATGGTTGGGAGGGCACAGTTGAGAAAAAAGAATGAAGGTCTTTGTGGAACATTCTCTTGACTCCCTCCCACTCCTAATTCAAACCTCCCTTTTGACTCAGCTCCAATTAGATTGTCAGAGCATACTCAGGGTGATGGAGTCTGGTAAGAGTGGGAACTTGAAGTGGAGGGATGAAAGGCTCTCATCGCTGAGTTTGGGTTCTTTCCTTCTATCTAGAGGTAGGAAAGCAGTAGGAAGGACGGTTCATCCCAGTTACTGATCCACTTATTTTCTTACCAGGAGAGTCCATTTTTTTTAAAGGTTTTTGCTATAGGACGCGTGCGCTCATCAGACAGACAGAAAGAGACAGAGAGATAGAAAGTGAGAAATCACCCCCCCCCCCGGGGGGATGGCCACTCTGCAATCCCTTCTCCTCCATTCTCCTCTCAGGATCTTGGGCATGCACACACACACGCCCGGCGTGAGTTTAAGCCACCGGGTCCGGGACTTGAACCGTGGTTGACTACATGGGAGTCCAGCGACATAGCCATTATGCTAACTGCTGGTCCCAGGAGAGTCCATTTTTAAAGGCCCTAAGAGAGTTCAGCTGGGATTGTGAGCCTTCAACCCCCAAAACCCATCACATGCCAAGCCCGGTCCACGAGCAGTAAAGAAGAAACAAAATTGGGGTTGGAAAGTGGCATGGTGATTAAGGTGCTGGATTCCCACATGGCCGATCATAGTTTGAGTCCTGGATCTGGCAGCTTGCTTTTTCCCTTTTTCTCTCTTTTTGTCTCCCTTTCTCTCTCTCTTTGTCTCTCTCTGGTTAAATTAGAAAATAATAATATGTAAATTTTTTTTTAAAAGAAACAAAATTTAAGTGGTAGGCTACTTCTCTAAATGCCTAAAGTGACATAGTTTGCAATGGTGTGTGTGTGCGTGTGTGTGTATGTGTGTCTGTGTGTGTAATGTGAAAAAAAAGAGGTAGAGGTCTTAAACTTGCAATTTTGAGTTCGATTCCTTGGGGCTCTTAAGCAAATGTGAGCCAGCAATACATCATTACAAGCAACATCTAATTTATTGATTGAATCCCCATAAATGCCTGCTAACAATGCTGCCATAAAATAACGTCCCCATAAAAGACCAGGAAGGCTTTGCTTATATGGGAATAAGGGGAGTGTCATTTAAGCAAATACCACAGGCAACCCACTAGGCCAGGGTGGGTAGGAACTTGCTGGCTCTATTAGCCAGCCTCTCTATCAGGACTGTGAATGTGAGTGACGAGATCTTGTGTCTGTGTGTCCGCATGAGAATCTCTGGGAATCTATAAGCAAATATGTGTAGATCCACATTATACAATATGAGCCATGCATCCGTGCACTAGTGTGAAGTGCACTCTGAGCTCCTTGAGGGCAGGTGTGTAATTTATTGTAGGCCTCAACGGCTAGCACATAGATGTTTTGTAGAAGTGTTTTATAATCAAAATAGAAAAAATGTGCACATGTGTCTGTGAATCTCCAAGGTAGGCCTTGCCAGTATGTGTTAGACTGACTGGCAGTGTGGATATGCACAGGCATTGGGGTGTGACAGTGTCTGTGATATGGGAAAGTGTGTTTCTCAGGGAAGGCTTTGCGGGACGGAGTATGATTATATGAGCCCTTCCTGAGACATTGGTTATTGCAGGTCTTGGTTCCCATCTCCTCACTTTCCCATCTCCCCACAGTGGGGTCCACAGAGCCCTGCCAGCCCACATAGGCTGCCTCCTTTTCCAGTTCTTGAATTTTCTCTGGAAACTGGCCAAGGCATTGCTCCTTATGCAGTTCGCCCTGGGCAGTGCAGATGCTGTGGTTAGTCCAGTCTGAGGCATGGGCCTGAAAGGCTGCTGCTGGACATCACGCTGCTCCCTCCAGCATTGCTCAGGAAGGTCCCTGCACAGACACTTTAGTCCAAACCTGCTTGGTCCACACCCAGCCATATTTCCTAACTTTTTTCTTTGGTTCCAGTTCCTGAAAAGATCTTGACTCCATTTGCTCTTCTTTGGAGGATCTGAATTCTTCTTGCCAAACTAACATTCCTTGAAGAATTTTAAAAAAAATTTTCTGCCCACAGGGCATATGTATGAGAGAAACATATGTGAAGAGAGATAGAGATGAGAGAGAGATAGAGATGAGAGAGAGAGAGCGAAAGAGAGGGAGACTCTCCTCAATAGGGCCTGGTCATGGCACAATCCTATCCTTCAATTTTCCCTTCCATCAGATCCTGGGCATGTGCACATTCAGCATAATTTTCAAGGCTAAGGAGGCAAAACTCAAACCCTGATCAACCCTCTGGGCTCTGGTTTCCTCTGCATAGGACTTAACCGCTGTACTACAGGGCCAACCTGCTTGGATAATCTTGACCACCTTGACTGGGAATGTGCTGCCCCAGGCTGGATAATCTTGACCACCTTGACTGGGAATATACTGCCCCAGGCTGAAGACACTGTTCTGCTCACCACAAGATACCTTATTATGTTAGCTTGTCTCCAGGTCATTACCATTTCCTAAATTAATTTATTTGTCTTGGTTTATTCTCTTTACCGTCCTCTTCTCCTACCATCCACAGAAAGATAGACTACTAGAACAAGAACTATTATTAAAGTACATCTACTCCAACCCTCTCATTTTACAGATGGAGAAACTGAGGCCTAGAAAAGGCAAGTGGTGCTGGTTTATTGTTATTTATTTCACAGAAATTTTATTGTTTATGATGTGCATGATCCAGGGTTGGGGTCACAGTTGAAGGGGGAGGACAGACATGCACATGGTCCACTAGAGTCCAGTATGATGGGCATTATGACATAGGAGAATATTGTCATGGAGCAAATGATCTTAATACACATAACTGTAGGAGCAGAGAGGAGGGGCTCCTGCACAGATACAGGAGATGTAGGGGACTTCTGGAGCAGATGATATGTGAGTTATTTCCTGAGTAGGAACTCACCTAGTGAAGGGGGTAAAAATTTTGGACAGATGGAAGAAGATTCTAATCTAATGCATTGCTATGAGTTCTTTTCCAGGTCCTTATTTCTCATTATTTTTTCTTTATTTATGATAAAGTGGGAAAGAGAGAGAAGGAGAGAGACAAATGAACACCCTCCACAGGGTCCAGAAATGCTGCAATTCCGTCCCTCCAGCCCCCCAGTCAGTCAGATCTTGGGCGTTTGTGTGTATGCCCAGAATTTTTCAGGCTAACTGAGCCGAGATTCAAAGTGCAATTGCGGTACGGGATCCAGCTTCTCTGGAGCAGTGCATTACCACGATGCTGCGGAGCTGGCCTGTGCTTCTCATCAGTGACATTTCAAAAAGGCAGAGGTGAAGAAGAGTGGAGGAAAAGGGGATAAATAATTTAAATATGAAAGCGTAAATGAGTGACTGAATAAAATTCACATTATGAGTGTCCACCACGTGCTGGTATATCGTGTATACTAGGTCGTGTTATCCTGATGACATTATGGTTATCCTCCTTTGACAGATGAGGCACCTAGGACTCAGTAACTTTCTCACATCTTGCAGATAGGGGAATGGAATTGAAACCTAAGATTGCTCAGCTCTGTAAATGACTTTCCCCTCTCCTCTGCTGCGATTGCCAACCTACTTCAGTTTGAGGATTGTATTTCACTTGCCTCTCCCCTCTCAAAATTGTAAAGGAGAGCAATTCTTGTGTCCTACCTATTAGCTGCATGGGGGGAAGAATCTCCCTGTAGCCCTCCCACTCGTAACAGAGGCAAAACTCTCCTATCTGCTGAAAGTCATGTCAGTGAATCAAATGGTCTCTGCCAGTAAGCTTATTGATGGGGACTTTACCAGTCCCCAAATCTGCTGATTCTTCATCTTCACTTGAAGCCAAATGAAGTTTGATTTTTAATTCACTTCTCAGTCATAAAGCAAACCAGTGACTGTAGGCAATGCTCAAACACAATCTCTCTCCAGGCTCCCCAGCCTCCTCCCTCACACTGGTTCTGCTGAGCAGATACTGACCAGAAGGTGAATTCCATTCCCCTCCCAGAGCAGCAGTGGTCCAATTCAGCAGTGCTCCAGTTCACTGCAATCAGCTGCAGGTGCCTGTTCCCAGCCCAGATGGTCTGCTGTCCTTGGACTCTGGACACTGCGATTCTTAAGAAGTTCTCCAGGTGGTGTAGGCAGCTGGGGCTGAGAACCACTAGCTTAGGTTGTATTTTTCCCTGAGGCACTTGGATTTAAACAGCCTCTCATGTTTGAGACAAGCTTTTGATGCTGGCTCACCATGAACTGTGCTTCTGTTTTGAAAGTGGATCTTCTGTTTTGTTCTCTTTTGGGAGCTCTCTTTCCTGCCCCTTACTTGCTGGGCTGCCTTGCTCTAGCCATACTGCTCCCCAACCTGCAGAGGGTCTGAGCTCTGTGTAACGTACTGTTCACAGGCCCAACTGGCCACACGCCCTGCTGACTACTGCTGTCCCTCCTATAAGGAACTGTCATGCCATCTCAGGAACAAGTATCATGAAAGGAAACCTGCCATCTTGAAGGCAGGAAATCTTTGGTTCAAAACCTAGCCTAGATACTCTCTGGTTATGTAATAGCTCAAAAATCTATTTTCTCACCTGCAAAATCATTGCTACAGCTATAAGTCCACTTAAAACTTAGCGGGAGGCCATCCTCTCCAACTGTGGAATTTCCTAAAAGTCCCAATCTCCCTTGTCACTCCTCCTTTATGTTATTTTATTAAAATATTTATTTTGCTCAAGAAATCACAATTTAGGCAGGGATCAGCAGGGACAGCTTATCTCTACTCATCATCATCTTGGAGCAGCTTGAAGGCTGGTGGTTAGAGTCACTCAAAGTCTTGATCATCTACATGTCTGGCCCCTTGGCTGGGAAGACTCAAAGAGCTAGAGCTGAGACACTGGGGCCACTCAAGCAGTTCACTCTGTCTTTCTCACTGTGCCTCTCCACATGGCATACCCTGTTTGTGGCTTCTGGGTTACAGATTTCTCGTATGTTGGCTGAAAGCTCCCAAAATGTGTGTTCAAAAGAGAGCCAAATGGAAGATGCATCTTCTGCAATCAGTCTCAGAGGTCATATAGTATCCTTTCTGTGTCACTCTCCTCATCAGGGCAGCCACAAAGGGTCCCTTGATTCAAGGAGTGAGGAAATAGGCTCCACCTCCTGATGGAAGCGTAACAAGATTTGGGAAGAGAATGTGGGGCTAGAAAATATTGTTGTACCCACTTTGGGGAAATACAATTTTCCACATGGAAATAACAATATAGTTGTAAGTCACGTAATGATGTTTTGGACAATGTCATATTATATATATGACAGTGGTTATATAAGACTATAATGGAACTGAAAAATTTGTATTACCTGTCAGATGAAAATATGGGACATTTCCATGTGATTAGTCTTGCAGAGGGAGGTATTTTACTATTGTGCTACTATCCAGTCCCTATACCATGCTTTTTATTGTTAGAATCTACTCTTTCTACTGGAAAAAAAAAAAAAAAA